TGAAAGAAATGTCAAAATCAGCACGAAAAATTAAATTTAATGTATGAATAATGAACCAAATATTTAAACTTATGAAGAATGAATATAGATTTAAGGATACAAAATAACGGTTTTTTAATTTTCGAAAACGGGCCCCCCCTTAAAAATTTTCTGGCTACGCCCCTGCTCAAAACCTTAAAAAAATATCAAAATGCATTCAGAAATTTCATTTAAACCAAAAACCTCAATCAACACACACTTAATAAATATTTACAATACAATTAGCTAACCCAAGGGCTCCCAATCCACCAAATACAACCCTCAATTCACTCAAAGTCAATCCAAAAAATTCCCACATTATCCCCAACGAACTAAGCTATAATTCAAAACATAAAATAACAAAATACGAATTTATTGAAATGATTATGTCCCACAAATGTATCATTACTAATAGCAATAACAATCAAGTTCACGATAACAGCTTTTGCGATGTACATTCTGAGCAAATCCATAACATTAAAAATGATAAGCAATTCTGGAAAGATATTTTTTCATTGTCTCTAGTGACATTTAAATAAAATTTATTAAACGACTTAAGATTAATTATGATTGGGGAATTTTAAAAATTTATTTAAAAATGCTTCGACATGGCTGATAAGATGAAGGGTCACGATGAGGTCCAGCTATTGTCGCAAAATTATTTTAATCATTCATTGTTACAATTAAATGTTTAAAGAGGCAGTATTTGAATGATTTTAAAGGTTTGTTGGGGGTCAAGATAGGATTATTGTAGACATATTATGGAAATATAGTTGTTTGATTTGGTATGGTTAGATCCGGGTGAGTAATAGGAGTAGAACTTGAATCTGGTAATTTTTAAAATCAATTAGCTGCATTGTGATTTAGATTGTGTATAATTTAGGGTGTATTAAAGGTGCTAAACTGAGAGAAACTATTGAAAATGATCAATTTTTGTATAAAGTAAGTTCCCAACTCTTGGGGAGCACATGTCAAAAGTAGGAGAGTCTTGTGTGTCAACTTTTGAACTTATTGTTCTACCCCAGGCTTGGAAGCTAGGCGGTATACCGCCAACTACCATACAAATACCTCCAAATACCCACAAATACCACCTTTAAAATACCGCCTAGTTTCCGAGCCTGGGTTCTACCCAAGGGTGCGAAACTGATCAAAATTATCAAAAATGATCAGAAATTATTAAAATCTAATTAATCAGTTCAGCACCCGTTTTTTTAAATAGGAATCGAACGTCAGAACTTTAGAATCTACTTCGAAAAAGCATAAGCTTTTGTCTTTGCAATGTGCAGAGCTTGCAAGTAGTTCGGATTCCACAATAAACGGTAGCTCTAAAAAGTGTGTTACAATAGATTAAGTTCTAATTTGAATCGCAGACCCTTCAGCTCAAAAGGCTGGGAACCCTCTATGCTTTGCTTTTTTTTAAAGTTCAACATCTTCCCCCCAACCCTCACATATAACATCACAAGAATAACACCAAAAGTAACTCCATAAAACAAAATCATCAGTCAGACAATAAATTCAATAAAAATCAAAAGGCGCATCACACATGAAGACAACACATGTTTTCTGCCTCAGTGGGGGTGTGTTGATCATACAAGAAACAAAATTATTTATGATTTTCGATGCAAAATCAATAAAAACGGAAAAAATCCTTGACAATGTTCATGTACATCATTTTTGAGTGTGGGAGCGACAACAATGCGCGAAAAAAAATTTCCCTTTCAATTCCATCCATAATAACATCATCAATCTTATCAAATTTCGACTCACAAATACACACAAAAAAAAAACAGTACGATGGCTGTGCCTAAAAAGCTTAAAGTATTCTTCGTCTTTTGCCTTTCATCATCGTCATGTTTGCTCTCTCTTTTTTTCATATGCCATTGATTTCCCAATGGCAGATTGATTGCTTTATGTAATGCTTGTAAATGCCTACATAAATTTACTATTCATTTCATCATTTCATTTGTTGACAATATTTTTCCTTCTTTCCTATTCAATATCGTTATTGCTTATGCCATTGATGGTGCTGATGTTGGCTCTATTGTGTTTGAATGAAAGTCAAGTTCAATGATTACGAATTTTTGGCTGAGGATTTATTCTTTCATTGTTTAGGTTTTGGGTGACTAGGAGTTGGTGGGGAAGAATTTAAGGTTCTAGGGAGGTTCATTTCTTTGTAAAGTTGAATATTTGGGTGAGAAACTAATTTTTGAATGGTAATGTGGTATTAAATGATTAATTCCTGTCGCTGGAATTTTAAGGAACCTTATAATCTCTATCCTACCCATTAGAGAACTACAAGGCGTCTTGTCTTAGGTGCAGACGCATAGCTAGTGAAGGTTAAGTATCTAGCTACGTCCCTGTTTAGAGGTCACTCATTTTTTGGGATGAGTTCTAACCTAGAACTGAACTAAGGACTTCCCACTTCAATATCTAAAGATTCTTACCCTAAAAAGAAAAAAGTCTTTGAACTTAACTGCAATCACTTAATATCCCCTCATTCAGACACGAATGACGACTTAAATGTTAGAATAAAGTAACATCGCAATACCGAATAGATCAATATCTAAGAAATTCAAGGGGAGAAAAATCAATTTCTTACTGGCAATTCTAAACCAAAAAGAAGAAAATAAAACGATTTATAATGAATCAAAATTATTGTTCGATTAAATTTCTGACGAATTTTGTTACAATTTTTGATGAATTGGTACGGAAAGAGAACGTCTGAGATTTACAAATTTAGAGAATTTGAGGAATTGATTGAGGTGTTTTTAAGGCACCATTTTAAAAATTTGTTATTGTATTTTTTCGGACGAAATTGTTTTCAAATGAATTTGAAAAATTTAAAAGAATTTGACTTTTAAGTATTTAAAGACTTGCATGCACTTAATGGATTAGTAATTTATGATGTACATCAAAAGCTTAGATTTTTATGCTGACTGATCTGAATCAGACTTTATCAAATCTTCATGCAGCCTCAGATCCTTCCAGTTAAGAAGTTTGACATCATTTATAAACGATCTACAAGAAAATTAGGTCTTTAGACGATCAAGAAGCTAGTGTCCTAAAACTTGTTGGATCATTCACTCTATTAGCTATCTGGAGCTTTGGAGCCTTCACCGAACTTAAACTCTTGTTTATTCGACTCATTAAAATTGATACTTTTAACATTCCCGAATGGCACAAGTCGGTTAATCGAATAGGAATCCGGTGCAAAGCCGGCATGACTCAGGCATGGCTTTGTTTTAAATCCAGCACCATTCCAGAGTCACACCAGCTTGGTGCCGGATTTCTGATCGATTAACCAACTTGTGATATTCGGGACTATCAAAAATTAATATTAACATCAAAAACCAGCACTCCATTCGTTATCAACAACGTGCATCTTAATATAGATTTGCGTACTTTATTATTTACTACAATAATTCAAAAACAACAACAAAATTCAGTTCCCTATATTTACAAAATAACAGCTCAACAAAAATATTTCTTCACCAGCTTATGCCAAACGTTTGTTCACATTTCGAAACACAAAAAAAAAAAGTCATCAATAAAACTTTCTCACAAAACTGCAAAAACTGACTGCAATAAAAACGTGAGCTTCACGAAATTAATCTCATTTCACACATTGTACTCGATTTTTTTTTAAAAAAATAAAGCTGCTGCAGCTGATAAGTATAAACGTCCGTATTGACGCTTCTTGAAAGTCTTTTGAGTTCACAACTGTCGTAATCAATAGTGAATGTGAGTTTATTGGAAGTTGAATGAGTTTGTTGAGTTTAAGGGATGAGCGATGAACATGTGTAGTAATTTTAGAAGATCTAAGGTTTTTCAGCAGGTCGAAAAAATGAGAATCAATAATTATGTCTATAATTACGCAGGATATGGAGTTTAGATTTCCAGAAACATTCTATTGAGTTTTAAGGGGGGGAGGGGGGTGGGTCCTCTAAAAAGTCATTTGTTCATAAATGTTATATGAACGACATTCTCCCATTAGATGATCTTTAAGTCAAAACAAGAATAAGCCTAACCTGGATAGCAAAAGTCGGTCGGCGTGGCTCTGTCATGGAGCTGGATTCGATTTAAATCATGCACTAGTAAAACAGCATGTAAAAGTTGAGAGTTCAAATCCTACCATGCTAGATATAAGCCGCGGAACTGATAAAACATTTTTAATCGTTTCATCAGTTCCGTATCCTTAGCTATATACATGATTCAAACAACATCATTACCGAGCAGCACACATTAGTTGCGAGGTTATTATCAAGTTAAAGAGCATATGTATCCACTCTGACGACACCATAAAAATAGTCCGACGGCAATAAATGAGATTTTTGGCACTCTGCAACTCGGGATCTGTGCTATTAACATAAAATATCCAAACCCCCCAAAAACACCCTCCCATTAAAAATTAAATATCGATCAAATTCCATCATCCAGTTCTAATCCTAATCCAAGGCATCTATAAATTTCCACAACTCCTTTCATACCTTTCCGAATAAATCCCCCATCAAAGTGTCAAAAAATGATCCAAACAGTTTTTAATTGCTGACCCTTTTATCCATTATTATATCATGAATGGAAGATCTCCAATGTTTCAGTTCCAATATTTCATTAAAATTCATACAAGACACACACAAATTTAATAATTTAACTTTTATTCGTTTACCGAGAATAATAAAAAAAGTTTTTTTTTTTCGGATGTAAAAAATCACAGCAGTGAATATGGTGCGGCACATCCAACAAAAAAATAAAAATGGTTATCGCAAAAGTTCATATGGGAATTATCTTAATTACACTTTGATGAGGGCAAATGTTACACATAGAGATGTTTCATTTCCATTTATCAGTTGACAAGGCATCATTGAGGCATTAAAAAGGGTTGAAACGCGACATTTCGATAATTTTTTTTTTTTTGTTATGTGACCTTTTTCTGATCTCCAAAATAAAATATCTGCTTTTTTTGTTCTTTCGCACGACTTCAGGTGAAGGAGCTTTTGAGGAAATTAATCCTCAACAAGGATCAAATTCATCGAGTTGGTGAGGCATTTAAAGATGAGATGCGTGCAGCATTAGGCGAACAGAGATCATCACTACAAATGGAAAATACGTATATCCCAGAATTACCAGACGGTACTGAGGAAGGAACATTTTTGGCACTCGACTTGGGTGGAACAAATTTTCGTGTTATTCTTCTTGAACTCGCACGTGGACAAATCCTTAAGGAAGAATTTAAATTTTATCACATTTCCGATGAGGCACGTCTTGGTTGTGGCATTGAATTGTTTGACTACTTGGCTGATTGTGTTAAGGACTTTATGGGATTAAAGGAAATTCCAATTGATTCAAAAATGCCAATGGGATTTACATTTTCATTTCCAATGAAACAACACAGTCTTCATTCTGCTGAGCTTGTTACATGGACCAAATCATTTAATTGTCCATCAGTCGTCGGTCGTGATGTTGTTGAGTTGTTGCAACAGTCATTAAGGAAGCATGGAATGAAGAATATTGAGGTTCTTTGCATTTTGAATGATACAACTGGAACGTTGGTGAGTATTGCTGTTTTGTTGTGGATTGATGAATGATATTGATAGAATTTTGAGTTCCTTTGGTGATTAATCACTTGCTTCATTCCAAAATATCCAGATTAAATGTCAAAACTCTATCAAAATGTTCCTGCAATTCTCCCAAAAATTACACATTTTTAATTTTTTCACAGGTTGAAGGCGCAAGACTGGATAAAAAGACACGTATCGGTATGATTTTAGGAACAGGATCAAACGCTGCATTTCTCGAACGTGCTGAGCGCGTTCAACATTGGGAAGGTGAAAGACACAACGAGAAGCATGTCATCATCGATATCGAATGGGGTGCATTTGGTGATAAGGGTACAATTGATTTCATTCGTACCGAATACGATAAAGAAGTTGACAATGGATCACTTTTGAAGAATAGCTTTACGTAAGTGCTGTAATTTTTGTTTATTGAGTCATGTTTTCTGTTCATCTTCATTGTGGATATAAAAGCATTTATTGTCGAGAATGATGACAATCTGAATCCATAAGTGAATGTGCAATTGAAGTCTGATGCATCAAACGATTTTCTCACAGATGGCACACATTCAAAATTGTAATAAGGAATGGATTTGTGCTTAATTTTTGAAAAAGAATATTTTGTTTGAATTGAGTTAGAAAAAAAAAATAATTGAGATTTAAAAAAAGAATAATTTTATATATTGTAAATAAGAATTAATATTATTAAGGATTCGAACCTCTTCTAATCGTTAATCACAAACCATTTCTTATTTAAAATGGCTCAAAATCTATTGAAATTTATGGCATTTTTTCATTATATTCTGCATTAATCCCTTAAAAAAAATAAAGTTATGCTTTGAACTCATAACCTTAAAAATTCTCTATTCCTCAATTCTAGACGTAGTAAGAAATAGTTTTTCCCCTTTTTCGGACCCCTTTTTTGAATAACTTCTGATTTTGTGTCTGTCATCCACATATTTGTTTTCATAGCCTTCCTTAAAATTCAATGAGGCATGAGATGGGAACTAATTTTTATTCATCTGGTATTACTGCTATATTTGTTGTTTCACAATGCAGGGAATGGTTATAAAAAGAAATTTTTTACTCCCCTTTCATTTCACATTCGTCTCTAGTTCCCCTTGTTCTCGACAACTTTTTTCATGCTTATTACTTATGATTGCTCTTAACTGTAGGGAAATGTGGAGATTTTCTTAGGATAATTTTAGTGGAATTTGTAGATGTAGGAGCCAGAGGGTAGCCTCTGGTTGGGGTTTTCAAGGACCAAATACAATTTTACCCCCTTCCCCCACTTCAAAAAAGCTACTCTTTTGTAAGGTACGAGATATTTCGCAACTTTATCAAGCTAAGCGTTAATCAGTTCGTTCCTAAAACCCTTCTGAATTTTTTTTGGGTTGTTTGCAAAGTATATACGTATCCAAAAAAGGCGGTGATTTAAGTGACAAATCCCCCTACTTCCAAAGAAATTTCTTCATTTTGTTAGGGGGTTTAAGAAAAAAATCATCAATTTACCCCCCACCCCTCACACCATCTCACCCCCCCCCCCTTTTTTTAATTTTTGAATGCAAAAAAAATCCCCAGCCCCCTCCTTTAAATTCCTGGCTACATCCCTAATTTAAGGGTATCCTAGTAGTATTCTAGGTGTTTCCTCGCCCATTATTCCACCCCTTGCTTCAAAGTCGCTTAAAGTTCCAGCATAATTTCTCTATAAGGATTAAATATGAAACGGAAAAAAAAAACTTTTTAAAAAAACTACGTTTTTCGCGTAGACTAAAAAGTAGAAAATAACTTTTATTCTTGGTTGTAAAGAATTTGGTTTTAAATTTTCAGATTATATTTAATAAATTTTTATATCCTAGTCAATATTGTTCACAAAGTTTCGAATAAGTGCATTTTGATCTTATCGTATAACTCAACAACTTAAAAACGTGGGCGCATTAATTTAAGTTTATCATAAAGTATTGATTTCACATAAACTTATTTCTCCTCTTATAATGCGCCCACGTTTTTAAGTTGTTGAGTTATACGATAAGATCAAAATGCACTTATTCGAAACTTTGTGAACAATATTGACTAGGATATAAAAATTTATTAAATATAATCTGAAAATTTAAAACCAAATTCTTTACAACCAAGAATAAAAGTTATTTTCTACTTTTTAGTCTACGCGAAAAACGTAGTTTTTTTAAAAAGTTTTTTTTATAAAGTATTTTATTTTCAACTTTTTAGTCTTATTCTAATGAAATAGAGAAATAAAGATTATAGGGGGTTCATAGGTTACAGGTGTGTTGAACTTCACTTCGTTGCACTTCGTTACGTTCAACTGTTTATAGATTACAGTAGGTTCATAGGTTACAGGTGTGTTGAACTCCACTTCGTTGCACTTCGTTACGTTCAACTGTTTATAGATTACAGTAGGTTTATAGGTTACAGGTGTGTTGAACTCCACTTCGTTTCACTTCGTTACGTTCAACTGTTTATAGATTACAGTAGGTTTATAGGTTACAGGTGTGTTGAACTCCACTTCGTTTCACTCCGTTACGTTCAACTGTTTATAAATTACCAGTTTTCAATGGGAAATTAGTAACGACTTTCAAAATTTTTCATTCGTTTTATAAAATTTAATTTTTTTAAAGCATTCATTAGTAAAGTACATTAAAAATCACTCGTAAAGATTTTGTGTTTATCTGTACCATTTCTACTTCATAACGTGTGGATTCTTACTATAAAGGAAAAAAAAAGAGTTTCAAGCCCCGCGCACAAAAACGTGGAAAATTTTTCATTAAATTAATTAAAGTGTCCAAGTCGTTATTAGTTGAAAAAACCTTAGTAAGAGTGCCAAGGGTTGTGTTTTCCTCAAGGACAATGAGGAAAGCCAAAAGAAAGCAAGATTTGTCGCCAAAAATTGATTTGGACGAAAGTTCAATCAAATCTAATGAAAATTCCAAGAAGAGGAAGCAAACGCCTCAGAAAGAGGAATCATCGGTTCCAGTCACAACAACAACTTCAGTCAAGCCAATATTTGTGCAATGCAGTCTCAAGGATGTGAGAAAATTAATTTCACTATTGAAATTGCAGGTTATGCCTGCATATAAAATTTCATCATCAAATACAACTCAAGTAATTGTCAAGTCTATTGAGGATAAGGCCTCAATAATAAACCTTCTGCGGTCTCAAACTATTCAATTCCACACCTTCTCCGAGAAATCGGAGAAAACAAAGTCATTCGTTTTGAAAGGATTTTACGAAACACCAACGAATGAAGTACTAAGATTACTTCAAGAAGCCAAGGTTTCAGCTGTCAAAGTGACAATTCTCGTCAAGAAGCCCGAGTTCACCTTTTATCTTGTGCATTTTCAAGATGAAAGTGTGAACATCAACGTGCTCAATCATAACCACCGTAACATCGACAACATCATCGTCAAGTGGGAGAACATCAAGAAGGGCAACAAAAGCCCAACGCAGTGCTTCAACTGCCAACGTTGGGGTCACTCATCTCAAAATTGTGGATATAAATTCCGATGCGTCAAGTGCACGGAAGTTCACGGACCAAATCAATGTCAACGATCCACTCGTGATGGAAATGCCAAGTGCATTAATTGCAATGGCGATCATGCTGCCAGTTATAGACTGTGCCCATCGTTCATTTCGTATTCCAAAAGAATCGAAAAGTCAAGAGCCAAACCACAACTCAAAATGCTGCCACAGATATCAAGTCTTTTGGACAGTAACAATTTTCCATCGTTAAGCAAACGACATCAAGTTTCTGCTCATTCACATCCAGTGAATGCTGCAAGTAACTCATCAGCAACATTTAAAGAAGAGATTAATCAGCAACAACTGATCAATAATATCAGTTATGCAGAGAAACTCAACGAAGCAGTAAAGAATGAAAGCCTTTTCAAGAAATTCACAGAAGCTCAAGAACGTCTAAAGAGAATCCCCAACATTGAAGAAGCAATAAACCAGTTCTGCAGTTTCGTCGACGAAGCCGGAAAGATCCCAAAGGATGCACCTCAAGGAACTGCATTTAAAATCATGGTGAAGTATGGCTTCATGAGCTGCCCACCAGCACCGAACAAGCCAGTTCAAAAATAATTTATTAACGTAGTTCATAAGCTTAAAAAAAAGCTTTTTTTTTTTTTTCTCGCTCGGCAACTTTTTTTAAACTTTTTATGCCACATTTTCATGATATATGTAAATCTCATTCATCAAAATTAATAATTAATCAAGATATAGTTGAATTAAAGCCATATTCAGGCTGGTGTCAAAATAAGACTCAAAGAAATGTAACTTAAACTACAATAATTCCAAATTTGAAATAAAGAAAGACTTGTTTTTTTTTTTGTTCTTACTATAAAGATGCAAATCACATATGTAACGTATTTATAACGGATTTTCAAATTTAAATTCAATGAATATCATTTATATGTTATGCAAAAATACGTCAAGCCGTTAATAAAAAGAAAAGTCAATTTAATTAAGTTGGTGAAGTGTTATAAATAATGCAATACATTTAAAACAGCATAAATTTATGCTCAAACTATGTGTGTTAAATGCACATCGCATATTAATAGTTATTTTGCATTAATTCGTAACGGACTTGTGCTTAACGGTTTTTTTAAAAATTCAAATTTTCACTTACGAATATTCATGAAAAAATTACATGTCAATTTTTTTGTCTTACCAGAATATCTTTAGCTGCTCAAATTTATGGTATAATTAATAATTAGTAATATTAATTAAACTATAATGAATCATATAAATGACTTTAGAGCATCACATGTATAATATTTAATACAAATCAAAATTTTATATCATTGACATTGGATTTTTTCCCATATAAAAAACTTTTACATAAATTGTACTATAATTAAGCATTTTTGTGTTTCCAAAGTGTTAAAATATTGTATTGTCACCGGGAATACGTGTGCATTAAAAATTTTAGCTCGATTGGAGCAGTAGAAGTGGTCGAAAAATCGATTACAAGATTTGCCCTCGACAAACAGATAAACAGATAAGAAAGCAAGTTAAGAAAAACGTAGTAATAAAAAAGATTGTATGAGAAAGCTCTTATTATTCATGTCTAACATTATATTTTATTTCTTTCCTTTACTACATTTTTCTTCCTATTTTTTACGCTATTTTTACAATAGATTTGAAAAGTACATCAGTGGAAAGTACTTGGGCGAGGTAAGTGCACAACAATAGAATACATTTGCAGCACAAATTTCTGATTCCATTCACATTTATTTATTTAATGTCATAGGTATGTCGTGTTGTTCTACGAGATTTAGTTGACAAGGGTTTGCTCTTTTCAAAAGCATCAAAGGAATTGTTTCCAGCACCATGGAAATTTGGCACTGACAATGTGTCACACATTGAAGAGTAAGTAGAAATTTGTCCTTTCTTCACTCATTTCCGGTGACCTTTTTCATCTATTGCTCAACAAGAAGTCATCAGTATCATCTTCCGCATTGTATTGGGTGTCAATTTGTTCATTGGCTTGATTTTTTTGAGGCAGTGATAAAGTTTGTGTGCAGTTTGACAAGCTGTTCAGTGCTATAACAGTGCTATGACAGTGCTATAAATAGGTAGCGATTTAAAATGTTTAATGGAAGGAACTATCCTTTCAGGAATCTTTCGTCCTTGCTGATTATTCTGTCTTGCTGCAGGAAGATTGTCTTGAAAGGATATTTAAGATGAGTCAGGAGAATAATGGCTTGATGTTCTAGTTCTCTAGCTCAATCACATGTTTAGACAATAGATATTAATCTTTTAAGGTTATATGGGCTTCCCTGGCCCTAAACAACACTTTGAGGTATTAAACTGCAACTAAAAGATCCTTATAGCTTTAGAAGTCTGTTATGCTCTCTTAAGATGCGCTCTGTTTAACCATGACGGACTATTTCCCGCTATACAAGTTCAATTCTTATTTCTTGTCTGTCTAATTTGTCTATTTTCTGACAATTGTTACATTTATGACACCAATCCTATTACTGTCACATCTATAGCTTCTGATGATGATACATTGAGTAGGACAGAAACGTTATCGATTATAGATGACAATAGCTCATCAACAATACTTCCGTTCTAGCCATAATTGATATTCTTATTTCAAATCATTCTAGGGATGCATTAACTGGATCGAATACGAGCACTGTCAAGGTATTTGATAAATTCAATTATAAATTTAATGAGGATTACGATGAGGATGATATAAAAGTGATTCAATATACGACTGCATTGGTATCGTATCGTGCTGCATTGCTCGTCTCGATTTGCACAGCTGTCTTATTGAATCGTATGACTGAAAAGGACATAACAATTGCTGTTGATGGCAGTGTATATAAACATCATCCACGACTGAAGAGATGGATGAAGCAATTAATCAAGGAATTGGCACCTGAGAAGGAAGTAAGATTGTCTAAATTGACATTTTTATTCGATATAAAAATTTATTTTACTTCCACTTTTTTTTCTTCCATCTCATCACTTTAGTTCCATTTGATGTTGGCAGAAGATGGCAGTGGAAAGGGAGCTGGTCTCGTTTCATCCATTGCACAACGTATCAGTGCAAGAATTGACGAAACTCCCTTACCAACAGCACACACGGTCAAGAAGGACCATCAACGTAATCATCATCAAGTCAATGGCTGTGCTAAAGTCCACACAAATGGAGTGAATGGCTTCCATAATGGCAAAATCACAAGTGCTGTAAATGGACACACAAATGGATATTCTAATGGTCACTGATATGCGGGTAGATGAAGAAAGATGTTGAATAGAAATTCTTTATTTCTGTTGTTGTGTATATTGTTAAGGCTTCTTAATCATCTTGAAATATTTAAAGATACTTTGTTTTTCTTAGACTTCCTCTCATTTAGTCTTATTCATAAGAAATTTTTGTTATTTTGTAAACCAGTGATGGTTAAACTTTGTTTGTGCCTGCGGCACTGATTCTCGACTTTGGATTTTAAGAGGTCGTTCACTTATTACGTAACGCTTTTAGAGTGGAGAGAGACTTTATGAAAATTCACGAAAGGGAAAATATTTTTGCTTAGAAAACTTGTGACAATTGGGGGGGTCTATGAATCCAGCGTTACGTAATAAGTGAACGGTCACTTGTTTAATTTTGCTTGACTTCAGAACATGCATATAAATGATTAGGATAAAATAGAAATGTGGTCTTGAATCTGAATGCATGCTTAGTGTCGTTACTTTAAGTTGGAATTATTGGGTATCTAGTGCTAGTTTTATAGCTTTACAACCTAAATAAGTCATTTGGAATGGTTAATTGTGATTTGAGGGTTAGGGTTGGGGCTTCTTTAGTAAATTCTAGGGTTTACTCTAGCTATTTTAAAGTTAAGCATTGCTAAGTTCTGAAGCAAACCTCTAGCTAATAGTAAATCATAGGGTAAACTCAAGAAACTAGATCTAGATAAGTACATCTAGAAAGCCGGTTTTAATAAGAATGATGGGAAGTTCTATCAACTGCTTTTGCGGTGCCATCTTGTTATATACAGATCGGCTTAATAAAATAATAAAAGTTTGCGCACCGATCTTTGAGAATGAGTAGCTTTAAAGTTGACGTAGCCAGAAGGGTATTGTCCCCCTTATAAGCGTTTTAGGCCGGGCTCTCGCTGCAGCTCAATACGTTTAAGGGGGTACAAGACCCTCCTAGCTATGCGCCTGAAGTTAACATTAGGTACCTTCAAAATATAATTTTGAATTTGACTTGCACAGTTGGTGTTTAAGAGTCTAATACTCTTTATAAAACAAATTCCAGATCCACTTCTATCCAAAAACCAGCACAGCATCCCCTCAAAACTCTTCATAAAGTGCCATAAAACAAAATTGATCCAACACTGTCCGTCCCTTAGCTAACTCATCTGTCTGTTTCTGTTTTGAGGAAAGTTTTTGAAAAATATTTTTTTGAAACCATTTTCATTAATTTTTCTTCCTTTTACTGTCTTCTTCTTTCTCTTCATAATTTTGTTGCCATTGTTGTCTTGGCTTGAAGACAGAAGGAATGAAGGAATGAAGACAGAAGGAAAAGAAGTTAAGAGACGAATTTTTTTGTTGAATGAAAGTTCAGTGGAGGTTGAGGTGGATGTGAAGCATTTTTGAGGAGGGTATTGAGGTTGGTTGTGTTATATTTTGTTAAATTATGCGAGCTTGAATTTTTCTGTGGCACTTTATGACTGCATTGGTCAAATTTTTAAGGATTTAGGTCAAATTTATATGTTAGAAAAATTCTACAAAAAATATTCGAGTAGTAACACCCGCAACCTACCTAAACCGTCTACAACATACCTCAATTTCCTTCACAAAACCGCTCCAAAAATTTAGTATGAATTGTAAAAGTTTCATGTGACATTTATGAGACTTCTTTTAAGCTACCTAAATGGAATTCCATCTCATGATGGTCCCTTTGACCTGTTTTATTAAAATTATTGTTCCAAAGAATTAAGACAAATTTTCCACAAAAAGACATACAACACACATGCATGCATGCGCATTTACAGACAAACTTTCTAAAACTACAAAGAAAAATTTTGAAATGAAAACGAAGAAAAATGTTTTCTTTTTGTGTTTCAAGATGAAATCGAGAGTACAAAATGAAATCAGTGAAATGAATAAAAAAAGGGAAAATGTAAAGTTTTTATTTTAGAGATGTGCAAAAAAATGTTGAGAATCATATTTGTAGAAATTAATTGAGCAAATTATACATTAAAGATAATGATTATAATGTTAATAATATTATACATACAGACATATAAATTTTCATGTTGTGATTCTATGTGGAAATTTTTTTTTAAATTGAGGATTTTTTTTGAGAAGATGAATGAGGGGGGGGGGGGGTTCTTATGGTATCATTATGTTAAATAATTTTTGATGTGAGTATCCACTGAACCTAGAAATTATAAGACTTAATTCAAGAAATTAAAAAAAATTATAAAAAAAATGAAATAAAATTTAAAAACCCTTTAAAATGAACCCCCCCCCCCCTTTCCTTCTACACCACAAGGAAATCCCAATTCACAAAACTTTTCCACATGAAATAAAAAAAACTATTTATCCACAGACTTTCCATATAAAAGATAAAAAAAATTTAATTCCTTTTTTTTTGGATTTTGTGAATCTCAAGTTATGGTCATGATGAAATGAGCCAAGAAATAATATGAAGCTGATGTTGTCAGTTTTAATTATGAAAGTTTATCTTATTTTACATTCAAGTGGATTGATGGATGAGCTTTTAACTTGATAAAAAGAAGATTTTTGTGAAGAGTTTAAATTCATTTTATATAAAATATTAAATTGTAAAATCAGATTATATTGTAGAGAATTTAAGAATAAATAATGTTAATAAAGATAAAAAATATATTAATAGTAGTAGAAATTAAAGATTTTTTTGTTCCATGCCTTAAATGAATTTTTATTTTTTTCAGTTTTGAATTTTTAATTTTTTCAAAAAATTCAAAAACTTTAAAAAATTTAAAAACTCAAAAAAAACTTAAAAAAAATTATGAAATTTGAAAAATTTGAAAATTTGAAAAAATTTGAAAAATTTGAAAAATTTAAGAAATTTAAAAATTTTGAAAAATTTGAAAAATTTACAAAAAATTTGAAAAATTTGAAAAATTTACAAAAAATTTGAAAAATTTGAAAATTTAAAATTTTTTTTAAAAATTTAAGAAAAATTCCAAATTTTTACAATCACTAAAAGAATTCCCGAACACCATAAGCCGGTTAATCGATTATAAATCGGGCACAAAGCCGGTTTTACTCTGCTATGATGATGGATTCAAATCGAAGCTAGCACTATTAAAGAGTCATGCCTGCTTGGTGCCAGATTTCTATTCTACAAACCCACTTGTGCTATTCAAGATATCCATCAATTCCAAAACTAGACATCCAACACATAAATCAATTAAGCCAAAAACTCGTATAACTCAAAAGACGAATAATCAACTTAAAATGAGCATAAAGCTTTTATTAAAACCCCCGAAGAACATTACTTAAGGGTTAAATTCCATTAAAATTTTCCATAAAAAAACTTTCAGTCCGAATTTCAAATAAACCTTTTAAAGTTGTTAAGAACTGATTACATATTTAGTAGCACTTACACAGAAAATTACTTTATCTTCTCTAGACATGGCTATAAATTACTGTGATGACTTATTGACTTTACTGCTTGTCAAAGTAATAAACTAGAAATTGATTATTCATGTCGTAAATTTTGAACCAATTTTATTGAAAAAAAAAATCTGAAAAATGTTTTAAAAATTGTGCTTTGCTCTGGGAGTTGGAAATGTAAAATTTCAGTAGTAATGACTACGTCTCTGGGACTAAATGTCAATGTATAACATTTATTTCGCACAACCTGAGTTTGATCTTGTATGCTAACGCAGTTTTGAACAATTTAAAGCATTATAGTCAGGAATTCAACCCCCTTGACTACGAAGTAAACCTGAAGACATTCCAAGTCCATCAAATAATACAAAAACTCACAATGCATTTCTTCTAATGAGCAAAAATAATGAACATCCAAGAATCTTCACCAAAAACATCTAATATCTGTATTCTCTCACATCAACAACCAAGAACAATGCGGTGTCATCAAGAAATACCTTAAAAATCTACAAAAATGAAGAAATTAAGACCGACAAAAATCCCATCCCTTCCATAAAAAGTTTTTCTCATTTTAACGGTCATTTAAATTTCAAATTTTACGACACAACATATGAATTCATGGCCCCCATAACTTGATATGAAATTGTGCATAAAAAAATATTTTAAGTAATAAAACTAAAATGTGACAAAACTTTACAAACAACATCATTAAAAGGGCTTCATTGTGTGTGTGTGTGTGTGTGTGTGTGTTTATTTTGAGAATGAGGCCCATCAAGCTTAGAGAACTTTATAGCTGTGTGTTTCACTTTTTTATTATTAAATCGCTTAAATTCTCTTTTTCCTTTTTTTTGTGTATGACTTAAAAGAGCAGTTTAATAACATGAGAGAAAAACTTATGATAATATGGTGCTTGGGAGCTTTACAGACTCTTTTATTTTATAGAAAAGGCCATATTTTTGCTACTTTTATTATTCATTGCTTAACTCTTTATGCTGTATATAAAGAAAACCACTGTAAAATAACTGAAAATGTATTGCATGTGAAGAGATGTGAGGCTGAATTAGGAGAGGGAGGAGGCATTTGATACAGGCTGGTATGGACATAGCCAAGAAGGAAACAACATGTTGGGGAATTCCCTTTAACTTTAAATTTCCTATCAAAATTGGTAACTGTCCTTACTTAGAGATTAGTCTATCTCAGTGTTGTACAAACTTTTGTCAGCCCCGGCACTTTTTGACTTTGAACCTACGGGACACCAGTGTGCGACGGCACATAGTTTGGACAAAACTGGTCTATCTCAAAAGAATATAATTATTCTAGTCCACTCCAATTAGGTTTAAACTTGACTATTGTAGAGTTATAGCCTAATGTGGACTTAAAGTCTAGTCTTCCATTATCATCGAGCAACAGGTTCCAGGAGCGACCCAAAATAATATTGTTTTGAATAAACCACATTTATGAAAAAATCAAATGAAAGTCGGACTTTGATCAGTTTTAATAATTTTTGGTCAATTTTTGATCATTTTGTGAGCTGGAATGGCTCTGTGGCGAAATGGTTTAATATTTTGGTACCTAATTATTGCAAAACTGACACAGCGCTCATGGGTTCGAGACTTAGCATTGGGAAATAATTACTTGTCCTTTTTGAAGGCTACATGCAGCAATGTCATCAAAGGAGTGGTTTGGATCCCCCGTTTAAACTGGAAGTCTAGGTTTGAGTGCAGTGGTTTGGTACATTCTCACTCATTGCACTAGCAGCCCTCTGGCATAAGAAAATGTTTATTTTTGATCAGTTTCACACCCTTGATCCCCACAAAAACTATGACACATATCCAAAACTGCACATAAACTTTTCACATCGCATTTATTTTCTGAAAATGCCATTGACATTCTCATTTAGATTAGACTTGCTATATGTGCCTTACAGAGCACATTCATAATTTTAGTTTTTGTTAACTCTTTACATAAATGTACACAATAAATACAATAGAATTTACATAGATGTCCTTTAAGTCTATCCTATACAAATATGTAGATTTTCTTTGATGAATAATAAGTTTTTTTTTTGAAAATTTGTATTAAGTCAGT